CAGATTCAGAAATCATATTACTCAGGTTTGCGAAAAGAAAATGTGGAAGGTACACTTGGGAATGGAGTGAGGTCACTGACAATGAGCCAAGCGTACAGGCTGGCCAAAGAAGTTTAAGATGAGGTAGACCCACTTGTTCACTCTCCAGTTAGGCATACTTAATGTCCTCCATGTGCCAGCCGTTAGTTGTAGGTGACACATGTACCACAAGCAGTGAGTACTTGACAAGTCACTCAGAGAAGGGAGGCTGCGACCAGCTGAACACGGTGGTGTTCGGGTAGGCTGAAAGGAAGTAAGATGAGGTGGGAGAGCAGTTCTCCCACACATACACAAGCAGAAGGCTGCAAACATCTGAAGGGCTTTGTGTTTGCCTCTTCAGACAAGCAGCAAGGTTGTCAGTAAGGCCAGAATGCCTTATGTAAGCTAAGCTAGAGCTCAGTGGATGATGTTGAGGTCTGTAGACCAAGACTCAAGATGCTGAGGCTTGGGTTTCTTTCTGAGCTGAAGAAACGAAAAGAAAAACTAGAGATTCTGGAAATTGCTGTAAAATTTTTCTTTAAAGGATTGGTTGCTGTGGTGAGTAGACATAAGACTAAGTTCTTGGTGAGCCAATGCAGTGTAACAGTAATGGTGAACTCTGTAGCCCTTCTGTGATTAAGTTCATTTAGGCCTAGTAACAATCTCCTTGGACCTCAGTTTCTTAATCTATAAGTTATGCATAACAGTGTCTTCCTCAAAGGAGTGTTTTATTTAACGATTAATAAGTAGAAACATTTACAGTAGCCTGGCACATGATAAAGTTTCGTATATAGCTTATTCTTACAGGGATGCTGGGCTCTAAAGCCAGTCAGGAAACTACTGCCTGGTTCTTCTAACTAGCTTGGCAACTTGACTTCAGCCTGTTTTATCATCTGCAAAATGGAGATAGCTGTAGCCCCTACCTCAGGATTGCATACTATAAGGTTGATAAGGGCCAAGTGCCATATAAGCATACTTAAGTGTTTGCTGATGTTAGCATTTCTTCAGTCTTAACATTCAGTCCTCAGAATGCCTATTCAGCTCTTTTGCATCATTAACAATAGTTCTGTGAGCTGCTTCCAAAGCATGACACTGAACCCCTAATCACACATGCTCTCCTGCAAGCTGAGTGAGTCCCTGAGGTCCTGAGGCAACCTTTTGTTTATTTTTAAATCTCCAGTGTTGCAAATGGAACTCAGAGCTTTGTACCTGATAGGCAAGGGCTTTACCGATTAGTTCCAACCCTAATATTGTATTTTAGTGAGCTTTAAAATAACACTTTTGGTGGAGATTGGGGGTGGAGCTGGGAGGACTAGGAGATTGAGGCCGGAATGTAAAATAAATAGGTGAAAATAAATAATGAAGGTAACACTTCTAGGCTGGGGATAAGCTCAGTGGTAGAGGTCTTTCCTAGCATGCACAAGCCCCTGGGCTCAATGTCCAGTACTGAAAACAAACTATTGAAAACAGCAAGCCCTGTACACACAACGTACTTAGGGTGGCAGTCTGAGATGCTCTGAGGGACTTTCTCAAGAGGAACACCTTCTAATGTGTAGTTCAGGCCTTTGAGATAATGTGACTGAGACCACATTATGTTGTGAAACTTGTTTTTCTGGATAACATTTTAGCCTCTATATTTGGATTTATTTTGGTTGTCTTCATCAGAAAACAACAATGATTCAAACAATAGAATTATTATTTTTCATAAGTGAAACTTGGCTAGCCCTATGTAGATTTGCTCCTACAAGATTGTTTTGTGTACATTTTTAGGTGTGTTTTGTTCCATAGTCCCTAAGGCTTGTATCTGTCTATCTGTCTCTCCCTCCTTCTCTCTGCTTTCCCCCAGCTAAAACAGCTAAATGAACATATTCTCATAGAACAAGGTATAGAATAGACTCAAATACAAATTGGCTTCTACTATTCTGTCATACTGTTTGTATCAAAATAATTGTCCATTTTATGACTTTTTCAGATCAGTGTCTTAAAAACTATATCCCATACTATAATTTCCATTTTCTTTCTAAATAAAATTAGTGTTAGCATTGAGATATTTTAATGAAAAAAATTATAGAAGCTTAGAAGTTAAGTAAACAAGTATACACTTCTAGGCCAGATGATTGTTAGATGTGTTGAAAATGTGTATCTTTTCACCAGCTAATAGATCTATATTTCACATTAACATTTGTATATAAGTAGTGTTAAAATTAAAGAACACTTTTTAAAAAGTGACTAGGAGAAAATGGTGTAAAGTTTATTGTAGATACCAAGTTAAGTCTCCTTTTGCCCTGGAACCTCAGAAGTCTCTCCTAAGACAGAAGCAGACTTACAGAAGCAGATCTAGCCTAGTTCATTTCCTTTCCCCCTTAGGAATGAAATGTTGCAAAGGCTAGCATATTTTTATAGCTGAGACTATACAAAAAGACAGCAGTAACCTACCAAGACGAGGTCAGCAAGTTGACTACAGGACTTGAGAGAAATGCTGACAAAGCTTGACACCAACAGTCTGTACAGATGTAAAATTTGCTTGATACTCAGAATATCTGAAACATTTTGAAGATTTTTTTAACTATCTTGACTTTTAAAAAGCACTTTTAATATCATAGAACACAATACTATTATGTTTTGAATTCTTGCCTTAGACTCCACAAGATGCTAACATTGTTACAGATTTAAGTAGTCTGTTTTAAATATTTACTATATTGTTGAGAATGCAAAGGTTCTTGTACCCTCAGACAGCACTGGGAAAACCAGGGATGTTAAACACGAAGGTTGTCTTCTCAAAGGATAACCTGCTTTTTGCCCAGAAGGCTGGGAATGGAGGTGGTTGATAAACTAGGTAACTCCTGTGCTATCTGTAGGGCCAGACACTACAGATGTGCCATCCACAAATTACTTCAGTGGTTTATTGTCTGAAAATTTACTTCATCTTTGAAAATTTAAAAACATATCGTTTTGATGTATTTACATGTATGTAAGCCTTCCAAATGGATCTGTGACCTTTGGCATAAAGAATGCTTACTAACATGCCCCATAGGAATGCAGCTGGAGCTACGGGAGTTAATCTCACCCATTCTCCCTTTAGCTACTTACAGAATTCTTCCCACGAGGATTAGGGGAGGGATGCCTCCATCGAACTGGTTGTGATGACAAATACCTTATCTCAGTACTCAGGAAATAGGCTGAGACAGGAGAATCTGGGACTGGGAGATGAGCCTTCATAGTAAGATACTGTCTCAATTGAAACAAAAACATTTAAAATTCATTGGAAGTTTGGAGCCTGGGGTGATCACTGATTCAGTATATTAATGTCAGCCTTAGGGGTACAGAGCAGGATGAGAGTCGTTTTGGAATGGTCCAAGAGAAGACTCATATATCCTACATTTTTACTAGTGCAGAACTAATAGGCCTTTAAGTAAGACATATTTGGTGGGGGAGAGAATTGAAAGAAAGGGTATGGACTGGGTATCAAATGTTATACATGCATGCATGCATGCATACATACATACATGTGTGTATACATAATATGTGTATATATGTATATACACATGTATATATGAAGCTAAAGCATGTACACACAGGTGCCAAATGAGGGACCATGGAAAATAATGACTCAGCAAAAATATGATGGTGCTGTTTATGTAGAGCTTCAAAAGGGTTATTTTTCTGTGAAAGTAGGAGAATGGTAACCCGGAAAACACATGGACTTGATGAAAGCATATGCACCCTACACAACCCAGAAGAGTAAAAGCATCCACTTGACAGCACAGGAATCGTGTCTCTGTGGGAACAAGGCACCAATGAGCCCACCAAGGATAAAGGAAACCAACCAGGGCCTGTACCTGCTGCTGTTTCCAAGGGCAAACATGGAGGGGTTGGGAGAGACTAGGAAAGGGTAAGGAGCACTGAACACAATGGGAACTGATGTATTTCACTTAACAGCACTCAGTGGTGGCACTACCCTCTTCTGAGGACATTAGGAAAAAATGACCAGTATTTTTAACTTCTACAGTGACTGAGGAGAGTGTTAGCTTTTTTAAAACCACCCCCCCCAGGCTCAAGACCTTGCTGTACATTTGTCACCACTAAAAAGGCCACTAACACCTCTCTCTTGCTGTGATGCAGGGGGTTTACCTTTTACATACTGAACAACTGCAGAAGCGTGATACCGTGGTCTTATCTGGTCGCACAGCCCAAGGAGTGCCGATTAGACTCATCAAATGCAGTGCCCATATTCGAAAGGGCTTACAGTGTCAACTTGAGAGGTTCATCTAGGAAACAAGCCCCTAGGCATGCTGGGAGAAAGTGCTTAGATTACATCAGCCCCAGGGCACCCGATGAGGGATTGACTTCATTAGGTTAGTGTGTTGAGAAGGGCTTGGGTGCCAGACTGTTAAGAATCCAGGAATCTGATTTAGCATTAATTTTCTGCTGAGTGCAAATATGACACTACCAGCTTCCTCAAACTCAAGTTCCTGCAGTCTGGGCTCGCACACTCCCAGCCCCCTATCCGACACCCTACTCCTAGCCTCCCACCTATAAACCCCCACTCCTAACTCCCACCCCCACTGGCATGATAGACTTCACTGCTAAAATATGTACCAAAATAAACCCTTTCTCCTGTAAGTTCCTATTGTTGGAGTATTTCATCTCAACTATCTCACATTATAAATAGGATTAAGGAATAGGATTAAATTACAGTGACTACCATTCAGCACCCAGAGAGAAGTAGACAATGATATATACACTCTAAAATTTTCTTAGAAACATTTCTAACAACTACTCGATATTGGAAACATGGATGAATCTGTGAATTTTCAAATGAGAAGGATTCGAAACCAATGTCTTCTAAATATTTAAATACAGAAAGCAGTGGGTTTTCTGTCACTCATGCTGGGTAACTAATAGCTCAATACCTGGAACCTGGGTTTTAAAGGTAATTACGACCATTAGAAACACCAGCTTTGAACACCGACAACTGTGAATAAAGCGAGAAACTTGAGTGCTTTAATTCACAAACAATTTCTTAGGAAAGGAGGTTTCCATGATGCAGCTTTCAGGCTAGAGGAATGTCTTCATCATCTTATGTGTGATGTGGCTATCAGGGCTCTGGAGATCTTCATATGTTTTGACTGGACTCTCCTTTTCTTGAAAATGAATGGCCATCTTCTTGCCTTCCACACTCATGAGCTTCAGAGCCAGGGGGCCCAAGTTTACGTATTCCTGCCATGAAGACACAAGGGGAGAGGCAAGTGGCAAGTGAGTCGAGTCTGACAAATGACATATTCTTCCCCTGGGTTGCCCTCCTGATGTTGAGCGCTGTGTCATACATGGAATGTGAAAGCCACTGCAAAAATTTAAGAATGTACCTTTTAAGTTTATATTCCCCATGAGTCACAGTAGAAAGACCTTCCAGTGAGCAGGAGAGGGAGGCTGGTGGTCTCAAAGGGAGCTGTGGTGGGTTGGATGCTGGTTAGTGGAAATGTGTGCCTCTGGGCTGCTTTGTTGGTGAAGGAGTATTAGGCGTATATTGTCCTCCACTAGCCAGGTCACAGCTACAGCAGAGTTCTGTATTATTCAAAAATGGGGGGGGGGGGTATTCTACAAGTGCTACTTGGACTAGATAATGGAACACTGAGGAACTTGTCCAGGAATACGAATCTTTTCACAGGTGCTTTGGCTAGTGTTTAGGTCAAACTTAGCCCATTGTGCCAAAGTAGAGATGAAAAGAACTGAAAAGTTACTTTCTATAAAATCCTCTAGCCTGTCCCAAACAGCTCAGGCCCTACTTGGGAAGACTCCTAAGTCGTAATTCACATGTTGTGTTCCTTCCACCTGCCTCTCCTAGAGCTGTTCCATTGTCACTGGGATTGCTTTCCCTAAGAAGTCAGACAGTACTAACAGAGGGCCATTCAAGGCACCCTTTGGAGAGACTCATAAGAAGAAAAACTGAGGCCCTGATGCAATCACTATCATCTTGCTTGACATAGGTGTGTTCTCCTTTTGAGGTGAGCCTTCTGCCCCAATCTAGGCTAAAGATGAGCATGGCCCTAGCTAGCACATGACTGTGACTGCCCAAGCGAGAACCCTGTGGAGCCATTGCCCACTTCCCAGCTAACGGAGGCTTGGAAGGGAACAGAAAGTATTGTTTTAGCCGGGCAGTGGTGGTGCACGCCTTTAATCCCAGCACTCAGGAGAGGCAGGTGGATCTCTGAGTTTGAGGCCAGCCTTGTCTACAAAGTGAGTTTCAGGACAGCCAGGAATACAGAGAAACCCTGACTTAAAACACGTTCCCCTCTAAGTATTGTTTTAAACTACTAGGCTTAGGGATAGTTTATTATGGAACATCAGCTAACTTACACTTTCTCTTGGTAGTGGAGATCTATAAATGAATGTTTTAGCTAACTGGCTCAAAGTAGGAGTAAAAAGAGGATCCCAGAAGAGGTCAATGGTGGGCCGCTTGTACTAAATCACAAAGCAAGTTTTCAGTATTTACATTTTATGTCTCCTTCTGCCAGCATTGTAGCCATTGACATTCTAGTCAGACCTGTGTTCTTGTGACTCTCACCTTGAAATCCTGTTCATCCTCATGCAGTAAATAATGGATGACAGAGCCCTTGATCTCTGTGGAGGAGCTGTCCTCTTTCTCGGTCTTTTCAAACTGGACATCCGAACTGCTAGCCTCCTGGCTGCTCCCTGGTAAAAGGCTCATTGCCTCTCCACTCTCTGCTTCAGTGGGTGGTTTCAAAGTCTCCTCTGAGACTGAAGGAAAGAAGCAGATTACAAATACAATACCGTCACTTTGGTCACTTTTATTTTTATTTTTGTTTTATTTGAAAGAACTCTGAAATGTAAAACTTAGGGCTAAAGGAATGGCCAAGCCTCCATGAGGCCCTAGGTTCAATCCTTAGTGCTGTCACCACCAAACCCAGGATGTTTTTAGAGAAGACAGTATGGAATTTATGGGATAAATTAATAAATAAAATAACAAAATAGAAGTAATATAAATTATATGAAAGCAAGGTGGCCCCATTTTAGGAAACTATCCTATATCCTTCTGATAGTTAAGACCTTAATCATAGCCTCTTGGGAGCTAACAGATATTCTGGCATTCTGCTTGGTTAAAGTGGTACCCAAACCATATTGGCATTGGTAACACCCCACCCCTCTCTACGAGTATCTACTTAATTCATTAAAAAATGCCTTGAATTTGATAGAAAATGGGATTAAAACTCTGGCACAGCAGCCTGTGTCTGTAATGGCAGCCCTTGGGAGGCTGAAGCAGAAGGATCCCTTAGAAAGATGAGGGAGTGTGGGAGAAAAGGGAAGTGGGGGAGAAAGGACAGAGGGAGGGAGGGAAAGAGAAAAGGAGGGAAGAAGAGGAGGAGGGAGGGAATAGAGAAAGGAGACAGATGAGAAAGAGAAGGGTTGGCAGACAGAGAGTAGAGCAGGAAGGAGGGATGGGGTGGAGTGGAGCAGAGGTGGATCCACCCCAGGCAGAGCTCCTCATGTGGGGTGCAGAGCTCCTCATGTGGGGTGCAGAGCTCCTGCATGTGGGGTGCAGAGCTCCTGCGTGTTGGGTGCAGAGCTCCTTCATGTGGGGTGCAGAGCTCCTTCATGTGGGGTGCAGAGCTCCTCATGTGGGGTGCAGAGTATCTGCCCATCAAAGGTGCTCAGGTTGCTGTGTTCTAAGGTAAGGAAAACCTCATCACAAGGAAACTGTACCTTTGTCTGTCTCTGGCAACTTCAAAGACACAGCATCTTCAGATGGCACCTGCTGCCCAGTGGCTTGAGTAAGATACAGTTTCCTAAAAGAACAAATAGCAGACTGTCAGCCAATGGATACCATCCTACAAGCTCAGCAGCCTCTGTTTCCCTCCAGAGTGGGAGACAGAGCAGAAATGGGATCTGCTGCACAGGCTTCAGCAGCATAAGGCCTGCTGAAATGGTAACCGACTGCACTGTTCTAAGGAGATAATTTCTAGAAAGATGCGTAATGAGTAGTGTGAGAATTCTGGAGTCAGAAAGAACCGTCCCTCGAGTTAGTCTTGGAAACAAGGAAGGTTTTCCGGGGAGATGAACTCTGAATGGAATCTTGTAGAAACAGAAGTTCACCATGGGAATAGTATGAAGGGAGGGGAAGTCCCAGATGGGGAGAGTGAGAATGATATCAATTAGGTAACTGGATTTTCAGGAAGAAAGTCAGTAAGAAATACTGGGGGTATAGCTAGCATTAGAGGTCTTGCCTAGCATGTATAGGGATCTGGGTTCAATGTGAGGGGGGTGGCAGGGAAGTGGGAGAGAAGGAGCATGCAGAGCTTCTGTACATTTGGAGCTGCAGCAAATATGACTGTTTTTGAATTCTTTATTCTTATTTTACATGTAGGAGTGCTTGCCTGCATGTCTGTACACCATGTGTATTCAGTTCCTTCAGAAGACAGCATTGGATCCACTGGCACTGGAGTTACAAATGGTTGTGAGTCACCGTGTGGGTGCTGGGATTTGAACCCAGGTCTTCTGGAAGAGTAGCCAGCACTCTTAACCACCTGGCCATCTCTCCAACTTCAGTTCCCTTCCTTTTGCCTGCTGTCATCTAGTAGACGTACTGGAGAACTAAATCTTTCCTTTTCAAACAGAGTGTTTCTTTGTAGCCCCAGGCTGGCCTAGAATTATGTCGCCCGTAACCTTGAATCTATGGTAATTCTCTTGTATTAGCTTCCTGGGTACTGGGATTATACCTGACACCTGGATAAATCATCTTAACACAACACAAAACGAAAAAACCCACCAACTTTTTACAGGTATAATGTCTATAAAACACTTTGAAGAAATGTTAATGACTGGGTATTCTGAGAGCACCAAACGATAACAGTTATGGCACCAGGGAGCATCTCACCTAGGTATTTTGAGATCCACAAGTCTACAGTTAAACAGCTGGTCAATAAGCACCAAATTTTCCTCCTCCAGTTGTTGAATACATTTTTCCAGTTCTTGGACTTCCTTTCTGTGGATGGAAATCTGTTTGCAGAAGAGGGAGGTGGGTGTCGGCACTTACTGGCTTCACTCTGTAGTGTCTTCTATAGCAAATTCAACTCCTGAAAGCACACTGGCCTTGGGGAAGAGCTATCTTTTATTATTTAGTACTGGGTTCTCCTGGCCCTTCTGTGGTTAAGAAGGAAGAGTGGGGCTGTTTCCTAGATCATAAGTAGACCCAGGAGGCAGTTAGTACAGAGCAGAATTGTCCTTTCCTACCCTTCAGAGGCATGGCTGAACTTAAAGATGAGCTAGAGGCAGAGATAGGAAAACAGAATTTATTTAGCAATATGATACATTGGCCAGTGCATGGGGCTATCTCTAAAGGTGGTTATAAATAAGACTATGAAAACACATAGGAATAATTGATGTATATGGTGGTATTTTTTAATGCCTAAAAGCCCTTTCTACCAAGCCCTATATTAGTATTATGTTCACTTCGATCCTGGTGTCATGTTCTGAGAAATGGCGTACACATGAAATATTTGCTAATTCATTTATTCTGTTGTACTGAATCCTTACCATGTGCCAGAAAACATTATCGCAAATGATCAAGACACAAAATTAATTTAGCAATAGGATCTCTTAGCCTCATGGACAAAGGTGCTGACAGAGGATGAGGTGATAAAAATCTAAACGGAAGCTGGACAGCTGCCAGCTACTCTGGGATGAGGAAGACACAGATGTCGGGATGATGAAAAACTGACAGAGAAGACATCTAGCCCACATCCGAGAATGGAGCAGGGCTTTATGTAGATACAAGTCGTGTCTCCTGAGAAGTAGGAGCCAAGTCTGCAAAGGCACAACTAAGGTGGCACTGGGGAGGAGTTGGGGACTTACTGAACAACTAAGAAAGGAACAAGAATCTGGTTTTTGTCCTCAAGGTGACAACAAGTAACTACCAGATGGGGCTTACTTTGTGAAAAAATTGAGTCGAATATGAACAGAATTTGCCAGTTTGATTGATGAAATCCCCACCAATCTTTTAAAAACGTGTTTGGGACCTTCTGTCTAAAGAAGGCTGGCAGCCACGAGTGTGCTCCAGCTTTAGAAGAGGTGTTCCGTTGTGTCCTACACTGGGATGTGAGGGTCTGGATGGACCCTAGTGAAACCAACGGTATCACCATGGCACCACCACTCATTTGGTAGATCCAGAAGCTGGTGAAAGATTGTCTGATTATCTGTAAGCCTCTGATTGTCCTCTTCTGGTCTGGGTGGCCAAAAAGCACCCTGTCCTATGGGATGGATGGGCACATAGGCATAGGTAAGTGGAAGGGGACTGCCAGGGCTTGGATGTCAGCAAAGAAGGGGAGGAGGCTGACGATCCTCCTTGGACTGCTTAGGAGATACTGTGACTCTAAGACTGGCCACCTCATGAGTCACAGCCTGTATTCTAAGGTGGAGGGGAAAATGTTCAAAACCATGAACACTGCTGTGGAATCCATCGGCAGACTGAAGATAGGCCAGGCCCACAAGAAGCTCCTGCAGACTAAACAGCAGATTTAAGACCGAGGAAGTGTTTCCAGGCAAAGAGCAGCATCACTAAGACCAGGACACGAAGCCCCTGTCCCTTGTCTGCATAGTGCCTTGGTGTTGGCTTGCTGATTGATCACACAGATCAGTCATTAACATAAGACAACCTTTTATCAAAACTACAAGAAGAGAAGACATCAAAGGAAAGAACACATAGAGGTTACTTGGTGAGTTGTGTTATACAGACATTGATACCAGCAGATGTTCATGGAAGCAACCAAGGCACTATAATTAAAACTAAGGATAAAATCGAGTTTGGTAGACTGGTGGGAATAACAAAAATGGAAGTAGAAAGTTTTGAGGTGAGTGAAAACAGACAAAGAGCAGAAGCTGAAACTCGCTCCTTCAGGCCAGGAGAAACTGATGACATCTGCTCTGTTATGGAGAGTCAGTGATAGATGGGAATCTTGAAGCATCCTTATTAAATTCATGGGTTCTTATATGGGCATGCTTCTGAGATGTCCTATCTAGTTTTATGTCAGCTTGACACAAGCCCGAGTCATCCAAATGGAGAGAGCCTAAATTGAGGAAATGCCTCCATGAGATCAGACTGCAAGCCTGTGGGGCATTTTCTTACTTAGTGATTAATGTGTGAGGGCCCAGCCCATTGTGAGTGGGGCCACCCCTGGGCTGGTGGTCCTGGGTTCTGTAAGAATACAAGATGAGCAAGCCATGAGGAGCAAGCCAGTAAGCAGCACTCCTCCATGGACTTTGCATCAGCTCCTGTCTCCTCTAGGTTCCTTCCCTGCTTGAGTCCGTGTCCTGACTTCCTTTGACAATGAACAGCAATATGGAAGTGTAAGCCAAATAAACCCTTTCCTCAGAAACTTGCTTTTGGTCATGGTGTTTCACCACAGCCAGGATAATGCTAAGACAGAAATTGGTACCAGGATCTTAGGGTTATTGGTGGGCAACACCTGACCATGCTATTTTGGGGAAGATTGTGGAAAGACTTGGGAACTTTGAGCTAAAGAGTCATTGCGTGTTCAAAGCTTGGTGATCTGTTCTATGGGAGCTTAGATGGTAAGAATCTTGAGAGCAGTGCAGATGTTGGAGGCCTGGCTGTGAGCTTCCAGAGGGAAATTTGAGAGCATTAAAAGACTCTATTGCAGACATTGCAAATGAAAAAAGAGTCTGTGCTCTGGTTGACTGGAGCTGAAGAATCAGCTGTGATTAACAAAAGACCAGAATCACTAAAGTAAAAGCCCTTTGCTGTACTTGGTACAATTGATGCTGGTCATCTGGAGCTAAGAAATTAGTGGTGATTAAGAAGAAAAATGGGTCACTGAGACTAAATATTCTACAAAGTGTCTCCTCAGAGCCAGCACAATATAGGACACAAAGGTAGCCAAGACTCAATCCTACCCCAAAGACAGCTTCTAACCCAGTTGACAAGCCAACTCTCTCTATCATGACTCAGACTCCTGGTGACTTAGAGTTAGGAAGACAAACGATACTTACCTGTCTCAAACATTTAAATTCATAGTATGCCAGTGGTGGGTGTTTAGTGTCTTAGATGTTCAGAGATGACTAACTTGATTACAAGTTCAAATGCCTTAAGGAAAGGTTTGTTTTTCAAAGGATGAGAAAGACATTATAGAGGCTGTACACAGAGGCAAATATAGAATGTTGGCAAGATGCCTGGCTGTGGGCCGGACATGCATGGGAGGCAGCATACATAGTGCTCTAGCTCTTTCCAAAGTATCACCAAGAGATAGCTTTGCAGGGGTTTAGGATAGCTTATGACCTCACTCCCCTCTTTCAGAGTGCCCAGCGATGCTCACATCTATTGCTGACTCTCCTGGGCTTTTGAATTACCAGGGAAACAAATTTCTGGGTTAGGAACATGAAAGGGAAGAAAAGGCAGAAAACCATGTTTCCCCAAATACCTAAGAAATGTAGAGATCAGGACAGACAATTCAAACTATTCCAGTCATGGACCTTGGGGCCTGATTCAAATGTACACCATTGACCTTTTCTTCTTCAGGGTCCGTGTGAGTCCTATGCCTCTTTGAGATCATGAGCCACTGGCTCCCCTGGTCTTGTTTCTCTGTGTTAATTTGGTATAAGTCATTTGGGAATTTCAGTTGTCTTCATTTTCCTAATAAGCACACTGAACGAAAGCACACAACAGAAATAATGCACCAAGATGTCCTGCACCCTTCCCGTATATCTATGCTCTGGGTTTTTCCGCTGAGAGAGAATGAAGAATTCTCAGAGGTCCCATCCTTAGTAATGCTTTTTAAGCCATTACAGGCCTCCCTCAAAGAAATGAATCAACTTAATTGTTCTGTTTCTGAGCAACTCTTGAATGCCGTGATGAACTTATAATAGGAAATAGTTTTCATTAATTTCTGAGTAAATTTAATCATACCAAAATTAATATTTATTGTAATAGATAAATTAAACCTATTGAATTTCCCTAAAACGCTTTGCCCTTTATTTCTAAGCTCTATAATTCAATTAAACTTAACATTTTCCCTTTTATTTCCAGTGAATTATAAGAAGTGAAAAAAATGAAATTAAACCAAACATAACTGGAGGTCTCAGCAGAAAGAGTCAGGCAGCCATTACAGCCTTTCTTATCAACCAAATATAGATTCTTTTAAAAAGTCATTTCGCTTAAACCTAAGATCTGTGACATCTAATAAAACTAAGAGTTGAATAGTTATTATAATATCATACTGTTATACTTAACAAAAGTATAATAAATATTTTTAATCCTTCATAATTAGTAACCTACTTGAGTTTTAAATTATTAATACCTTGCTTACATACATTGAACTTGCTATATAGCCAAGAATGACCTTTAACTTCGGATATCCCTACCTCTATCTTCAAGTCTTATTTAAAATAGGAAATTCATTGTAATTATTTGGCAGTAATAGTATGAATTCATATAAACATCACTTTACAAAGGTAATTTGGCAATTGTTGTCAGAGTAACTCTGGTAGCACAAGTCTCCAATCATAGCTACCCAAGAGGCTATATGTGGACTACAGAACAAGTTCGAGGGTAGCCTGGGCAATGTAGAGAAACCTTGTCTCAAACATAAGGGCTGGGGCACAGTTCGGTGGGAGTGCTTGCTTAGCATGCACAAGCCTTGGGGTTCAGTCTCCAACACAGAAAACAAAACAAAACCTCTAAAAAGGCTGGGGTGGAGCTAAGTGGTCAAATCCTTGTTCAGTGTGCCCAAGGTCCCTGCTTGAATCCCTTAGTGCCCCTCTCACACACCATAAAGCTAGCTGACAAGATCACAGAAACAGTATACAATTTGTGTAAGCATTTCAATGGATCGGATGGGATGGATGGGGATGGATTATGGCACTCAGGAACCAACTGAGTGTTACATCTTGGATGGAAAGGTATTCTGGCACTCTGAAGCCAAGGAATACCACAGGTCACAGTAAACATAGCAGCTTACAGACTTGCTTCAGAGAAAGGCTTTTCT